CAAGTTGATCAACTTCTCCCAAAGGAATCAGTGATGAAACACGAGTATTTCAAAGGACCGACAGCAGTGGTCCCAAAAGTATTGACTCATCACTATAGCAATATAGAAGCACCTATACTGAGCCTTGGTTTTCCTGAGAGGTCCCAAAGTGTCACCTATTCACTGGGTGGCCCTGCAAACTCAGCCAGGGTGAACCCTTTCTCAGCACCAATGACCCTAGAAAATGATTTTTAGGCCTTAATATAAAATTTTAGAAGCTGGAAGTCATCCATGTTTCTGAGATGCAAGGAAAGAGATAACAGATGAGTGTCCAGGATGGTAAATTCTCCAGTACTTTGTCAGCTGTCCGTCAATGACACAGGTCCATAAGGAACATGTATGGGCTTGATTCCACATGAGCAGAGTGGTTGTTACTACAGAACTTGGGTTTGGGTCTTACCCCTCTGAGGGATTTCTGCCTTGGGACTCTGGGCTGAGTGTTATGTAAACTGCAGCAAGGACTTTTGCCCAGTTTAGGCAGGCCAACCTTAATGGTGTGGATCATTCTCAGGTTTGTAGCCTCCTGCACCCCTGGGCCCCCACTTCAACCCTGAAACTCAGGGTCTTATCATTCCAAGGCAAGAGGAAGCATGAAAAAAATGAATCCAAGGAAAAGTCAATAAGTATTGCTCTGGAAGCCCAGGGCATAGCCAGCCTAAGCCAATTACATATACTCAGGCCTACTTGGGATACAGAACGGGTGCGAACCATAAACCCATTAACTGTACCCTATGGGTGAGAGTTTCAAGAGAGATATAAAACGAGATCCCAGAAAGAGCAGATTGAATAGAGGCACATCCAGACCCACATAGCCCCAATTCACCCTTCTCCTCTCAGCCAAAGGAGTTCACTCAGGAGGATCCAGTGGCAGATCCCACCCTGGTCAGAGTAGGATCATCAGCCCTCTGGGCTGGATGTGCCACCAACACAAGAAATCGGGAGTTAGGAGAGACTGGAGCTTCATGCAACTCTTCCACAATTCACTGTGTGATCTGCACACCTGTAGTTGCTTCACTCTACAGTGGAGACAAGGAGACCTGCCTACACACCTCAGAATGAAGGCAGCACATGCAAGGCTGGTGTAAATCGTAAAATACAGCACAAATGCAAAAGATCATTTTTATTATTCCACAGAGTGGGTTCTCAATAAATGAAAAATTCCCTGAAGAGCAAGCACAATGCAGATTAGCATTTCATATTTCAGCACATATAAACTCATTCATGTTGGTCTCCAGTGCTGGCAAGAGGCCTTGTCCATGTGGCTCTTGGGAGTTTTACCCAAGACGACCTCTGTAACATTTATTATCATTCATGCCAAAGGAAAACTATCTTCCCCTTGGGTCTGTAGACATAACAACACCCTCCCCCAAAGTTGGTTTCCATTGAGACACGACAGTTCCTTTCCTAAGGGAATGTTACTCATTTGGTTAGACTTTATGTTGGGTGTTTTCATGTACCGACTCCAGGCTTGGAAAAGTCTCAAAAGGATGTAGGCCTCCTGGTTTAACTCAAGCTTTCCCAGTGCTATGAATCAATTTGCTCCTGTCTCATGGGCTCACAGCAAGGCTGTGAACTACCTGCACAATGCACTCATGGGAAAAGGGTGAGGTGCTGCTGCCATCTTGGGTGGTATTTCAAGGCAACAGTTAGAATATGGGCTCTAGTGGCCTGCCATATGCGTTCCAATTTTGGTTTTGGCACTGTTTTAAGGTTGGGCCAGTTCTATAAACAGGTTTAATAGGATAAGATAGTAATGCCTACTTCGTAAACTCATTCTGAGGATTAAGTGCAATAATATGAGTTAAAAAGCTTTTCAGTCCTGTTATCAAGTTCATGCTATGAGCCACTGGTTTCACATCTTTACGTTTTTAGCTTTCCCTTTCTCACAGTAATTGTTCCAAATAATACACAAACTAACAGAAATAAATAAATGGCTTCTGGTATTTGAGAAAGTTGTGATGTTAGTTTTTATGTTATTTTCCCCAATCTTGAGGACTTGCTCAAATGTCTCTTTTGAGGATGTGTTCCACAACTCCTTAAGGTTGGTTTACATGTTCTGCATGTGTGTTCACCGACATAGTCTCCATGCACCATAAAACAACTATTTCCTCCATGACTATAAACATCTTCAGATTAAAAAACAAAAGCACTTCACATGGTGCCTTATTTATTGTACAGTGTTCAATAAATGCAAGTGTTATTCTTTTCATTCGCATTTATCCTGTTGCAGAAGCATTTTGTATACTCTAAATTTATAGCTTTGGGAGTGTCCCTGGAGCTGAAAGTGCATGTGGGAGGAGAGAGAGTTGTCAAAGATGGACTTTCTCTTCTTTTAGCAGGAAAGAGATGAGAGTTATCTTTTCTCATTGATTAATGTCTGGACCTAATTAGAAGATTTAATTAAGGCACTGTAGTTTCTGAGCATTTAATTCCTCTTGGGGAGAAAAAAAATCTCACAGATGATCATGTGACATATATCTTAGGTAACAGGACATCCATCCTTAAAAAAAATTAAGCATGCAAAGGGTGAAATCTTTCCTTTGGTAGCTGAAATTTGGGGACACTGACTTTTCAGGGTTGGAATACCTCTCAGAAGGGGCGCTCAGAATGGACCCTCAAGTCATAATCAATCCCCACTCTGCAGGAAGCAGTTAGAGGAAGTGACACTGGCTGGGGCCTGCCCTCTGTCAGAAGGAAAGAACAAGGCCATTCTTTGCACTTTAGAGAAGTTGCCTCTATCCTGTCTCCCCTCCAGGAAAACAGCATAGAGAAGAACTAAGGGCCACCTCCATCACCACTGCCCCTCCCGGGCAGCCCAGGAGAGCAAACTCATGAGCCTGTTTTACAGATGAAGGAACTGAGGCCCAGACTCAAGACTGCCCAAGACTTAGAAGCCCAAGTAGGTGAAGAACTGAGGACACTTTCCCTTCTTTCCTCACATCTCCAGAGGGACCTCAGCCATGCCTGGCTCTGGGCAGGTTTGTGAGCTCCTCAGGGTCCCCTGAGAACTCTAGGAAAGTGGCTCAGGATGGCAGAGTTTGCTGGATTTCGAGAGTATACACCAGGCCAAAACATGGCACATGGCCGCAAGTCCCCACACACATTCCCTTTCTCTTAATTCTCTCTTTCTCTCTCTCTGCCTTTCTCACACACAGCCAGTGATGTCATTGTTAGAAAACCCATACCGACAACAACATATGTCCACTTATGTTGACCCATTCACAAGACTCAACAACAGCTCCTGGGGTCCACAGGACGAGCTCAGTCCTACAACTGAACAGGCACAGGAGAACTCCAAAAAGACTGCCCACATCTTCCTTGAAAATCTACTTGGCCCCTGCTGGGATGACTCAACCCCACTTGTAAGGGGTGGCCCCAGTGTTAGCAGCTACTGGCTCTCTGTTCAGAAAGCAAGTTCTTTCATGGGATTCAGCTGTCCCTCAGGCATCCAGGGAAGCTTGTCATGCAAAGGCAGAAAATGTGACAACTGTTGGAAACGGTCAGCAGCAGCCCATGGGAGTGACAGTGTTCTCTGGAGCAGACACTTGGTCAACGGTTAAAGCAGGCTATTATCCAATTCACACAAAACACCCACCAGCTCCATGGCACCAACAGCTGAATCTCTCCATTCTTACCAAGTTCAGGACAGACTGCCACTTTGCCTTGCCTCTAAACTTGAACGATGAACAACTTCATTAACCATCAAAATGCACATGCAGAGAGGGAAAGGGAAAGAGCAGAACAGCTTTCCTGAGCTCTGAGAACCAAGTTCCCAGACCCCTCAGAGCCAAGCTATAGCTCTTCACCATGGCCAACACAGAGCTCTCTCTCCCTCCATGGGTAAAGTGTGCAAGAACTTTCAGATTTGAAGAGTTTGAGAAAGGGGGTCTTGGAACCACAGACACCATATCAAATGCTTCTTGAAAAAAAAAAAGAAGGCCTGTGTGCATTTTCCCAAAGAGGTATCTGTCCAAAGCACTTTTAGATATTTTGCTTCCAAAACATTACATAGTATTTTCTTCAACAAATTTATGTGTTTCCAGGGAACTCCTGAACAAAAAAAAAAGTACTTAAATAGAAGAATGTCTGGAGATTCTTTTACGCCAACCCATTAACAGACCTTCTCTTTTAATTTCTATTATTTCATATAGCAGCAGTAATCACTCCCTTATCCACAAAGCAAATATATAATCCAGCTGTGGTGGCTCCAGTAAAATACCACATCTGTGGATCATTGGCAAACTGGCAAGACTGCTCAAATCTAAGCAGTCTCAGAGAGTCCTTTTTTGTACCCAAGATGCACATGGGTACACTTTTCTGAATGTGTATACGAACTTTGCCAAGACTGGTTGCTCCTTTGTATTCTAGACTGAGGTTTTCAGATAATCCACAACCATAAGAAAGAGGATCTCTTGGAATATTAGTCCCAGAACCTAGTTGTAAGAAGTCCTCAGTCCCTTGCAGGGTGGTGACTTGTGTCAGAGACCTTGTCAATATCAAATAGAGATGGAAAACCAGCATTCCCGGCCTCTGGGAGGAGGCTCTACCGCGCTGCTGCTGGCCGAGCAGCCGGCTCCTGGTTTTCCACTTAACAGGCTGAGGGCTTCCACAGACTCAGAAGGCAGCCACCGTGCAGGTCACCGTTCTCTCCCTTCTCCAGGGTAAGGAAACCAACGTATCCCCCCCCGCGCCCCCGCCTCTGTTTAGACTGTCCCCAAAGCCCAGCAGCAAGCATTTTATTTCTAAGCCAGTCTTCCACGTTCAAATCCCCAATCCCGAGCGCGCCCTGGGGGTTTAGTCTGCAGGCGTCGAAAGGAAAAGCCGCGTAGCTGAGCTTGACAGACGTTCGCCCCAACACGCGGCCTGCGGCTACCGTGCTGGCTTGCCGCTGGCCCAGAGCCCCAGGGTCCCCGTCCACCCCAGACAATAGAACACGAAAATGAAATGAAAAGTGGACTTACTGCTATGGCTTGCAGCCTCTCCTTGTGCAATTCCGCCTCTGCCATCCTGGAGAAGGGCACACGGACAAGGGAAAGAAGAAAGAGAAACAAAACACGTTGTAGTCACCCAAAAAATTGGATGGGCACCCAGGGGGCTTAGCTGGGACCGGGGGAGGATCGAGGGGGAGGCTGGGGTCCGATCCAGGCGCGGGCAGAGCTGTGCGCACGGCTGGCTCGGGGACCTCTGGTCCCCGCCCGCGCGGTCGCCTGGCTGCGCCCCAGCGCCGCCGCGAACTGCAGCTCACGGTCGCCGCCGCCGCCACCGGCCGCGCCAGCCGGGGACGTGGGCCGCGGACAGCCGCCGGGAGGGCGCGCTCGCCCGCGCTCGCTCTCCGCCCTGACGTCTCGGCGCCTCGCTCCGCCCCTGGGGTGTGGGGGACCCACAGCAGCGGTCCGGGCGGCTCCGGGCCGGCAAGCGACACTCGCGCCAGTGGCACCTGGGACGCCGGCGTTCAGCGAGTCTCTAGGGCGCACGGCTGGCGCGCCTGGGTGGACAAGCGCGCTGGCCTCTGCGGAACAGATGCCAGTGGAGGAACCTCTGGTAGAACGCGGGTCCCAGCCCTGGCTCTTACATGTCGGCTGCGGCCACCGAGGGTCCTCGGCGCCTTCTAGCTTCCGCCAGATGCTTAGGCTCCACGTGGGGACGTTTCCAACAGGGAAGGGCTGACTTGCCCACATGCTTTAAATGGCAGGCTCCTCAAACATCAAGTCAGCTGAGGGCAGGGCATATCTCCAGATAGCCGCCCTCCCCCTTCCCCCACCCCCAGGCCAACTGAGGCATAGACTGCAGAGACTTTGCAGTCTTCGGGACCCAGCTAAGCTGGACTTGGCAACTTAGCCATTGGCAACAACCATGTACAACTCTGAACCTCGGTTTTCTCATCTGAAAACAATAAGGGATCACAGGTTATGTCCCAGGGTTGTCCTTAGAAATGAATGATACAAATCATAAAGGTGCTTTGTAAAAAGCATTACACAATCTGCTTTACTATCATTATCCTGTGACATTCTGTGTTGGAGACACTCTCACAGAACGACAAAGTAGGATCTGATCACTAAACTACTTTACCTATTCTTACCCAAAGAGGATACCATATAGTACTATAGTGGGTATTTTGTGTGGGTTGGATATAAGAAATGGGTAAGACCCAGTTCAAAAGAAAATAAATACTATAAACAAACAAATAAATGCCTCTTAACATTCAGGATGGACCTGTTAAAATTCCCAATATTCATAAGCAAATTTTCTTCTGTAAAAGGAAATAAACACTGAAAAAAAAAAAACCCACCAATGTGGCCTCTCAGGTAAATTCTTTCCATTCAAGTCAAACACCCTTTTAACTTTCACAGAGATGTTACTTGTCACTTGACCACCAATCACCACTCTGGCTGAGGATGCAAACACTCAGTAAAACAGTTTTCCTGAGGGATCGTCATTCGTCATTCTCCTTCCTGCTTCATAATAGGTGGAGGTGTGACTATTTGTGTGATGAATCCAAGCCAATGCCAGGTTTGACAACCCACTCCAAAATACTACAAACTTCTACTTTCTCACCAAACCCATCACTTTCTTCAAATGCTTCATTTTCTCTTCATTCCCAGTGCAAGCTCTGGAGAGGCCAAGTTATTCGAGAAGGGTTTTTCTCACAAGTAAACAAAGCTGTTATTACTTTAACAGTGAGCAACCAACAAAAGCAGAGAATACCAAGATAAGGAAGAGAGACCAAGGAGGCTGAAGGCTCAACCATCATCATAAACCTGGGGTTAAACTCAGAACAGACTCTCCATAGCTCATGCTCTTAGCCACTAAGCACCACGCTTGGCCAGTGACTTGGATGTGTAACAGACCCCAGTAGTAAACAAGTGAATAAGAAATGGTCCTTTTCTCCTTAACTACATAGGTACCAAAAAGGAATGATGGGGCTGGGGATGTAGCTCAGTAATAGAGTGCTCACCTAACAAGCACTAAATTCAATCCTGGGTTTGAGTTCCAGGAAAAAGAAGAAGGAGAAAGAAAAAGAGGAGGAAGTGGTGGAGGAGGAGAATGGTTGAAGCACAACAAGGTATGTATACTCAATGTCACCAAACTGTACATTTAAAAGTGGTTAAAATAGTAAATGTATATTGAACAATTAATTTTAAAAAGAAGCAATGGAAGGAGAAAAGGGAAAGAAAGGGCCTGGGCATTCTTTGGAAGTGACCAGTTGGAAGGATCTGAACTTCAGAATAGAAGACTCAAGGTTAGGCCACATAACTCAGTGACATCTACTTCACAGTCACAGCTAAAGAAATGAGCATAGTCAGGATGAGAAAAGATCAAGTGGAGGAGAAGCTCTGCTAGCAAGACTGATGAAGAAGAAGAGGGAAAATTCAGGAGGGATTTTTTACTAATAGCCATTAACAGGAGGATAGGGAACCTCAACAGAGTGACAAACCTCTGAGAGGTCATGCAGGATGCAGAATGAGAAGAGGCCATTGACTTTGAAAGTCAAGAAGCCATGGGTGATACTGGAGGGGGGACACTTAGGAGAGCTGAGAAATGAATAAGAGGTGAGGAAGATGCTTCTAGGAGTACAAACCACTCCTTTCAGATCTTTGGATGTGAAAAATGAAGATGGGGAATAGGAAGGCAGTCAGTATATGGGAAGCAGAGCCTCACTGAAGGGTTTTGAGGTCAAGTCAGACTTGAATATTTTGGGGTCAAAGGGAAGTAAGACCAAATTCAAAGAATGGAAGATGAGTATCAGGCAGAGCCTCAGATTAGACCAAAGGGCATAAAGATGAACATAGCTGGCCAGTTTAGCCTTGGGAAGAAGGAAGAATGAAGCAGGGCACAGGGATGGAATGGGTAAAGAAAAGAAGAAATTTTGAGGTGAAGTCTGCAGAGAGAGAAGTTGAAGGAGTTTGCATCAGTTGGCCTGATTCTTTCGGGTAAAGGAAGGAAAGGACATTGGTTGAGACTAATGGGGGTAAGAGTGGGAAAACTAGAAATGGTTACTAAAGGAGCTGTGGGGAGTGGGGAAAATTAAAACATGGTTCCTAACCAGAAGCCTGCATTATGATCTCCTGAATACTTGCACAGAATTAAATTTCTATGGGGTAAGGTGGGAGTTAGGGATGTGTTGAGAATCACTGTACTTACTAGGAGAAAACCAAAGATGCGCAGTCAACTGTGTGTACTTCCTTTGTGGTTCTTAAGTGTCTAGGACCCATAATATGCAATGGTTGTGTTTGTTTATTCAGTGTTGGAGATTGTCAAAGCAGGTATGACAAAAGTAAAGAGGAAAGGAAATTCAGAATGGTAATGAGGTTTTGAATCAGTGAATCAGTGAGGAAGTGTAGCAGGCTCAGATCTTTTTTTTTTTTTTTTTTTTTTGGCTGGCTTACTTGTGCACCCCTTCCCATTTTGGGGGAGTTACCACATTTTAAGTTATAGTGAGAGGCATAGTCACTTCCCATCATAGAAGCAGAAGCTGGGAAATGCCAGACATCTGCTTCCCCAGATCTCTCGGAAGTTACAGCATGGCAAGCAATCAGCTCAGCCAGGCATGTGCTAAGTTTGAAGACAGCATTTTATTTATTTATTTATTTATGTATTTATTTTTATTGTTTTATTATTCATATGTGCATACAAGGCTTGGGTCATTTCTCCCCTCTGCCCTCACCTCCTCCCTTACCACCCACTCCGCCCCCTCCCTCTCCCCCCAACCCCCTCAATACCCAGCAGAAACTATTTTGCCCTTATTTCTAATTTTGTTTAAGAGAGAGTATAAGCAATAATAGGAAGGAACAAGTGTTCCTGGTTGAGATAAGGATAGCTATACAGGGAGTTGACTCACATTAATTTCCTGTGCGTGTGTGTTACCTTCTAGGTTAATTCTTTTTGATCTCACCTTTTCTCTAGTTCCTGGTCCCCTTTTCCTATTGGCCTCAGTTGCTTTTAAGGTATCTGCTTTAGTTTCTCTGCGTTAAGGGCAACAAATGCTAGCTAATTTTTTAGGTGAAGACAGCATTTTAGAGAATTCTTTCAGATTGGTAGATCACCTTTGGTCTTCCCCATTGCTCAGGTCTTCTGTAGACTTCCCATCTATTCTGTGAGCTACCCAATACCACATCAGTCCATTCCTTTGAATCCATTTCTGTTGCTTGTGACTAAGGACCCCTAGTGAAACAGGAAATAATGGCTGAGGGTTGACCAAGGAGCAGAGGGAAAATGTTTTATCTTCCAACACTTCTCCCTTCAAATCTCTAAACTTTGGCATTTAAAAATCATTGAACCCATCCCAAACACAGATATTATAACCTGAATTATGCCATTACGTCAATAAACTTATTTTGTAGCTATTCTGTACTAGACATTAGGCAATGGTCTGGCATTATAAAGGATTCATAGTCTAGTGTCACAACTATATTAGTGACTATTTGCCCCCTCAAACATTTAAACTGTGGAATGATGCATTACAATGATGCATAATGCATATCACCAATCACTAGTTCTTGCTGGGACATTAAATTGTGTTGTATAATAAGCACCATTCAGACAGTTTAATGATTTTTCTGATAGATGCTACATTGCAAGGCATTATACAGAGAGAAAACAGAAGACTAAATATGCAAAATAAATGTTTTGTTAATAAAAAAATTTCAGCATCTATTTTAGAACATGAGTCCTTTGGGAATCACAAGTGAGTATAGCCCTTTTCCCTTGTGGGAAAAAAAAAACAGGAGCGCTATGAACCAAAAGGAAAATGACTTGCCAAGGCCCATTGTGTGAATAAAAGTTTTGTTGAGGAGGAGCTAAGAATGTGACATTTCTCAGCAACCTAAAGCTTTCCTTTGACAAAAGTGACTTGAAAGAAATGTCAAAGTCCTCAGTACAAACATTTGTACTGAGATCGTTTGAGAATATATGATCATTTAAAACACACAAGTGCTACACAGAATCAAAAGAAGAACAGTGCTTGGGATCCTCTTGCTCCTGTGGTTATCAACTCTTTGGAAAAGTTGATGGAACTCCAAAGATATGCTGTTCATCATAATGGGATTCCAATGATGGATTCACATAGGGAGTTCCATGGAGCAAAAAGACGAAGAAGTTTGAAAGCAGAATGTCAGTGTGGGAGATAAACTAGGCTTGATGTTGCTTAAGGTATATGCTGATGAAGGTCTCTATGTAGCAGATT